GGGTTGGCGTAGTCAACGTGGGAAGGAGGATGGTTCTCCTGCCAGGCTATTTTAATGAGCCCCTCCCCCACCGGCCATGCTGCCCCTCTTCCCCTTTCCTCCGGCCTCCTGCTGCTAACCCCCTCCTTTGCGCTTATCCTGGTGGAGGCCTCCTTCCTCCTCTGCCAGCCCAAGCTGTGCTGGGCGCGTGCTCTCCTGCACTGGTGGGTTGGGGTTGAGGATGTTGAGCAGCTATCATCAGCAGCATCTGACAAGCTGGGGGAAGAATTTTCAGGAACTCATGGAGGGGGCGAGGAGAGAGACAAAGGGTCTGTGGGGGAGTAATAAGGGTGGCAGGCACGACTCCCTTAGAGACCTGGCAAGCCTCTGGAGGAGCCCTCTCCCAGCAGCTTCTGCTGGTTGTGAAATGGTAGCAGCCCTTTACTCTACTAGCTGCCTGCCTCTGCTGGCTGGGAGGCCTCATCAGGCCTGCACCCCGAGTCTTTGAATCATTAGAGAGGCTGCATCTTAAGATGGGTGTGTCATCCCTGTCCAAAGCTCTAGGTGGCATGGATGGAGGAGGGAGCATACAGCTGGGCTAGGGCTTATCTCTTAAGTGTTAATTGGTGCAGCTAGTGGTCCATGGAGGGGAGAGAGCTTCTGAAAGGAAGGAACTCCACCCCAGAGGCCCAACCTTGGTACACCTTTGGGCAAGAAGGTCATTGCTAATTGAAGGAAGTAGGGAGAGAAGACCTGGCCAGGTGAAGGTTGAGCAACTGCTTCAGCCATGAGCTAGTTTCCTAGCTGTTTAGGGTGTAGGGGGGAGGATGCATTATCTCATTTAGAATCACCATAAGAAGCAAGTTGTTGGTTGCATGGAGGCAAAAACATGAAGACTAAAGTAGAATATTAGATCACTCACCTTAAGTGGTCCATTGCCAACCTTTGGGAGAGGTCTTGGAATTACTGATACATATATGCCTCAAATTCTTAAACAGGTCAAGAAAAGTGACCAGAAATCTTGCAGTTTAAATGTTGTTTTAGGTGGGAGCCAGTTTGGAGAGGGGACTAAGCCCAGTCAGCTACTGATGAGTTATGACAGCAGGCCCATGGTGTTCTGACTAGCTCTCATGCTCTTAGAATCTCAGTCTCAAGTTATCTTTTTTTGGGGGGTCTTTTTTGAGACAGGGTCTCTCTGTAGCCCCAGCTGGCCTGCAACTTGCTTTGTAGACCAGGCTGGCCTTGAACTCACAGAAATCCACCTGCCTCTGCCTCCTGAATGCTGGGACTTAAAGGTGTGTACCACCACACCTGGCTCAAGTTGCTTTTTTTTTTTAATTATTTTTTATGGGGGCTGGAAAGATGTCTCAGCAGTTAAGAACACTGTTCTTGTAGAAGACACAGGTTCTATTCCCAGCACCCACATGGCAGCTAACAACTGTTCGTAACTCCAGTTCCAGAGAATCCAAGAGTCTCTTCTGTCCTCTGTGGGCATTGCACGACACGGGTGCACTCACCTACATGCAGGCAATACATACATACACATAAGATAGAAAAAAAAATTTTTTTTTAATTCTTTTTTCTTTTTGAGACATGGCTTCTTTGTACAAAGCCCAGGCTGGGCTCCCAACCAGCAGTCCTCCTTCCTTCCTGGTACTGGGATTTCCAGTGCATACTATGCCTGCCTCCATGTTCTGGTCATTTTAAGAAATCTTTTTCAAGAAAGTTTTTGTGATGATTTTATTTGTATGTGTGGGTACATGCTGTCATAGGATTGTGGAGGTCAGAACTTTCAGGGTTGGCTCTCCTTCCACCATGTAGATTCTGAGAATCCAACTTAGGTCCTCAGGGGTGATGCCTAGCACCTTCACTGCTAAGCCATGATGTGGCGCTGGTCTCTCTCTACTTTTTTATTTTTGGTCTTTTTGAGACAGGGTCTCCCTATATCCCCAGCTGACCTAGAACTTGGTATGTTCCCCGTCTGCCTCTGCCTCCTGATTGCTGGGATTAAAGGTGTACATCATACCTGGCTCTGGTCTCTTTTTTAAATTTTATTTTATTTTATTTTATGTGTATGCATGTATTGCCTGCATGTAGGTAAGTGCACCCGTGTTGTGCAATGCCCTCGGAGAATAGAAAGAAGAGGCTCTCGGATCCCCTGGAACTGGAGTTATTGACAGGTGTTAGCTGCTGGGATTTGAACCCTGGTCTTTTGTAAGAACAATCAGTGTTCTTAACCACTGAGCCATCTATCTAGCCCCTCTTTTTTTAAATCTTAAAGATAGATTTATGTTCATAGGTCCAGGTTCTTGGAGAAAGCTATGTGTTGAAAGGCATGTTGACAATGAGATTAGGGGAGGGATCTGTGGTAGAGCATATGCAGAGTCATGCACAAGACTCTGGGATCAGTCCTCAGCACAAGAGAAAAGGAAATGGTCAACTTTCCTTTCCCATCCCCTCCCCCATCTGGTGTTTGGTAAAATTAGGTGCAGAGCCTTGAATTTTGAGTCCTAGGTTTACTAAGGGAAGTGTGATTAAGCTGAAGTATCCAAGATAGAGATCTTTAAGGAGATTTTGAGATGGAATTGGGCATAGTCTCAAAAATGGGTGTGGTACAACGAGAAGGATAAGGGATGATTCTGTGGGAGAACAAGTGAGGTTTGGATTGTTTGTTGGTGAGACAGCAGAGACAGTGCCTGGTCAGATTGCTCAGCAAATAATTGAATGAATATCTGCAGTTAGGGTCAGAAAGGTGCCCCTATAAAGTTAAGAGCATACAGTGTACTGACTATGTAATCTGAATGAACTTTAGTGACATCTGAGCATGAAACAGCTGGACTTTTGTAGAATTTTCTAACTTTAGGAGCAGATGCAGTTCGTGTACTCTTTAAAGCACCAGGAAGGATTGCAGAACTAGAATTGTGGCATGGAAACTAGGAAGAAGAGTTGATTGCCAAGGGATACTGAAGGGAAAATTTAAAGTGCCCTTTTTTGCTTAGGAAGCAAGATAGGAGTGTTTGGAGCCAATATTCTTGCCTGAAGAATGATAGACAGTTCATATTTGAGTATAAGTCAGCTCTTGTGGTATATGCCTTTAGCTCTAGCATTTGAGAGGTGAGGCAGGATGATCAGTTCAGGATTGTCCTCAGCTACATAGCGAGTTTGAGGCTAGCCTGGGCTTTGTGGATCCCTGCCTCAAAAAAACGAAAATATGGGAGCTTGGAGAGATGGCTCATCAGTCAAGAGCAGTGACTGCTTTTGCAGAAGACCCAGGTTTGATTCCCAGCACTCACATGGTGGCTAACCATCTGAACTCTAGTTTCAGGGGATCTGACGCCCTCTTCTGACCTTCTCAGGCATTGCACAACACCAGTGCACTTACATACATGAAGGTAATACACTCATATACACTAAAAAATAATAACTTTTTTTAAAAAAAGAAAATGAGGGGCTGGAGAGATGGCTCAGCGGTTAAGAACACTGACCTTCCTAAAACAAAGACCTCTGTTGGGCGTGGTGGCACACACCTTTAATCTCAGCACTTGGGAGGCAGAGGCAGGTGGATCTCTGTGAGTTCAAGGCCAGCCTGGTCTACATAGCAAGTTCCAGGACAGCGGGGGCTACAGGGAGACCCTGTCTCAAAAAGAAAAAGAAAAACAAAAACAAAAAAAACAAACCCCCCAAAGACCTCTAGATAGGCTAACTAAATTGACCAGATGGACAGTAGTGGGGAATGGCTGGGGGTGCCGACAACACAGCAGACAGTAGCAGGGATATCAGAGTTATAAGGGCTCTAGTTGGGGGAGGGAGGCTATGGGAGAGTGCCAGCTGGGAAGTGGGTGTATAGTTGAATAAGATGGTTTAGGATGTTCTGTGTGATACACACACACACACAAATCAAATTTAAAAAAGTATTATATTTGAGGAGGAAGCATGGAAATTTACATCATGGTAATTAGTAGAGGTTATAAACATTACCATTGAAATCTACCCGATGACTTTATAACATACACAGGTGCCAAGGATCCAAGTGCAACCGATTATGACTAGTAATAATCAGATACATACAGATTAGAGATGCATGTGCCAA